GGTTCTAAAAATGCTTTAAAATTAAGATGAGGATTCAACTTGGTCATCTCATTTTGATGGACAAGTGGACTGTTGTTATTTAAAATTTTAATATTATTTCTGAGAACTCTAAAAGGTTGATGACCTACAGTAACATGCAATTTTGTGCAAATAGGAACCTGAATCTCAAAGGGAAGTGATTGTGTTAGAGAAAGTATATTTAATAGAAGAGAATAAGCACAGCTGACTACTTTAACCTACTCATCTTCAAGTATGAGATAATCTTCATGAAATGCTACTATGGGATGTGCTAAGAGCTATGGAAGCACCCCTACAAGGATCAGAGGAGTCTGTATACCATCCATTATTTGCTAGAGACTTATTACAACGTGGCTCAAGAAGATAGGACCTTTCTATAAGTGAATCTGTCTTTTAAAGGAATCCCAGCTGTAAAACTAAATGGGTAGCAATTCCCTCTAGACATATGAAAGTTCCAGTGCTTTTGCTGTTAAATACAGATCCTCCTGTATTTTTCAAAATGTCCATGAATGAAAAACAAAACATTTTATAAACAAGCATCCAAAGGCATAAAACTAATACATAATTTTTTAAGGTTTGCAAATTTGCTAAAATTTTTTTCAAATATATTAACAATCAAACCAATCATCCTTTGGGTTAAAAAGCATGCTTCAATGCTTTACTGATGGGTATATGGGAAAGAAATCTTCCCCCACTCTCTCTCCAATCAAGGGATGAAGATTCAGTTGATATATCAGATTTGTATTTCTAATTTTGCCAGACAAGATGTGAGAATAGTGCTAGACCAAACCAATGTATTGTGAAAATGCTGTGCAAAAGCTCCTCGTCTTATTAATAAACATATTACCAACATTTAAGAAGATTGTTTTATATAACCTGTTGCCAGAAATTTTTCTCCATAATTATTTTCAAGGAAATAACATATTAAAGTGACAAAGGCGTGAACATTTTTTTCTATAGGAATACCAATTCACATACGTTGGAGGGCTTTAACTCTTGGACTGCTTTCTGGGTCTAGGCCAGAGAACTGCTTCATAAGAAATAAAAGTTCTTTTTGGTACTTCAGTCATTAACTCCCTTCATATAAAGGCCAAGATCAGTCTTATGCAGAATTACACTTTACAGAGGGCTGTAAACTGGGTCCAACATATCTACCTTCATTCAAGCCCACAACAGTCCAGCCAAGAATTCATAATGACTCCATTCATATAAATGCATCCGTCAGGACTCAATTACAGCAAAATCGGCCCCTAGAGCTACATATATGTTTGAAAATTTAGTGACAATAACAAAGGCTCTCTCCCAAAATTCCACTCAAAGCATGTGAAGATAGTGAAATGCCAGCTAAGGAGGCTTTTCTGCCTATTTCCTTCTGCATATTTGTAGAGCACACATTTTTCCACTGTGGAGCATAAAAATAAAAACTTAAATGGTGCATGATAAAAAGACTTAAGATCTGCATCCCTATTACTGAATCCTGATTTTTGATTCTCAATAAGGAAAGTCATGTTGAGTTATAATAATCGAGCAATAGTTCAAACAAAAAGACTAAAAATAATTTGAAGTATTATCAAATTACAAAGTATTGCTTCTCGTAAACAAAGCTGCACATAAAGGTCAAACTATTATAAATTCACAATTATGAAAAGCTATTTAAAAGCATCAAAAACTTACAAAGTGTGAGTGTGTGGTCTTCTAAAAATATGCCATGTTAAATGTATCATGTTGTGGTAAACACATTAATAGATGTATCTCCATAGTTATGTAACTATCCAGATGTTGCTGAACATCTTTATGAAAATTCCTCTGGAGATGAGTAATGTGGAAAATTTCAGTACATTTCCATCCGATTTTCTTTCAATTCCTGTCTTATAACTATCATGATAAACTTCTTTTTCAGAGTGTTACACTATATAAGCTAATATGGAAGAAGCTCTGTAATTTTCAAGCAAATTACTGAAAGATGCACTGAAAGATGGATTTCAAAGCAGTCCCAATACAGCTCACAGCAGATCTCTGTCAAACCAGTGTTCTTCCAACTCATAGCGACCCCTAGCTTTACTGGCCACTATAAGTACCTAAGTGGGTAGACAAAAGAGAAAGGTGGTAAAAAAAACCAAACCAAACCAAACCAAAACAGAGATCTCCTTGAATGCCTTTTCTTCACTGCAGTCAGGAACACTGCACATATAAAACTCATGTTGTAACTACCATCTATTGGAATGACTGGAAAAGTGGTAACTTGCCAATTGTGCTTCCTTTCTTTCACACCACTGAGCCAATACACTTTGGATCTAATGGAATCCAATTGTGAAACCAAGTGCTTAAAATTTTGTTTCCAAAAGAATATGAACCGATCTTCAACTGTAGGTATTTTTTCTTTTTGGTGAGTCACCTGTTTACAAACAAAATAATACAATGTATTAAAAAAGGATGACCTATTAAAGGTAGTATATATGTACGTTCCCTCATACCTTTCCCAATATCCAGGATGAATACTGATATTTTTTCTTCAAAATGACCATTTATACAGATGGTATGCAGGAGATACTTTTTTGAAAAAGGGATATGCTTATATTAAAGCAGTACAAATGAAAACAAAATTTAAATACGGATTTTGATTACTTAAAAGGTTGTATGTTAAATTAACTTTTACTCCTCTTATTCTAACATTTTATGTCAAAACTATATATTAAAAAGGGAAATACAATTTAAGTGTTTGCCTCATAAATTGCCAGTATAATAACTATTAAGTGGCATCTTTAAAATTCACTAGGAAGCAGTTTTTGTTACATTGACATTTAGAGGACAGGATTAATATTGGTCTTTAAGTGGATGCTTTACCCAGGACTTCTTAAAATTCAGAATAGTTGTGTTTGAGATTTAAGAGCTTACTTAGGCACAGAAGCATTTTTATAAAAGACTTACTTGGCAGACAAAAGCTGCCATGCACATGAATAAAGTACTTATTTTATTATAGTTCTGCATTATCTAATACTATAGCTAATGTGGTACTTAAAATGAGCACTTAAAATATTGCTTGTGTGACTGGGAAACTAAATTTTTAATTTGACTTACTCTAAAATCTGAAGCAGTATAAAATATTTGTCCATTAAATACAATTTTGTTGTTTTGCTAGGGCATTTCACTTTCCCCGCCGAATATACAGCATTCCAAGTTGAGATGTGCGATGTTATAATTTACACTAGGCAAGTGTAAGACATATGATGGATTCCAAAGACTCAGGACAAAAAAATGTAAATTACATCATGAATTTTTTTATGATGGAAAGATGTTGACAGATACTATTTTGGGTATTCATGTAAAATATAGTATTAGTAAAATCAATTTCACCCATTCCTTTTTACCTTTTTAAATATGACTATTATAACTTTTTACATTATCACTGTGGGTCACATTATATTTCTATTGGACAATGTCATTATAATCACTTCATAAGTTCAAGGACCCTACAGGAAATAAATTAGTAACTCAATATAAAGCCTATACAATTATATGTATTTCCTTATGTTTAGAAATACCCTTCAAGGACACTGTTACCTATAGCTACCTCTTGGAAGAGGCAGGATGAGGCACAACAGGGGACCCTTGACTTTTTATTTCATGATGTTTTGAGAAATTAGCTGTTCAAAAAGGTAGGTAATTACATTAATGATTTAAATTCCATAAGAACGAAGTCAATAATAGGAAATACAAATTATAGCCTTTTTAGCTATCTGTAGATAAGTTTCTAAAAGTTCAGAGCTTTTAAAAATGATTTCCTAAGACCATACACAAGCAGTAATCTATAGCTCTTTTATTATTGCCTGCTAAATCTGTGGAGATTACAACTAGTCTATGGTTTGCTTCTAGTATAGAATACATTCAGTCTTTTAAAAGTGGCTTTGCAGATATCTGAGCTCATACATTTTCTGGAAGTACGTCGTTGCTTCTCTCAACATTATACTACATACATCAGCCAAAAAAAAGTTTCAGAAAATTTTCCAAGTGATATTCATCATGAACATATTCTTAGCATCTGATATAACGCTAAATTAACAGCCAAAAGATATAAATAATGTCCCAGCCACTGGAATATACAAAGTGCTGTTGCAGCGTATATGTGTTAGGCAAGATCAGGTGGGACGGAAGAAGACAAATAGGGATAGGCTGGCCTGGGCAACTGCTGGCAGGCCATGCACCCTGACTAGGCCACTGTAGGCAACTGTAATAAAAGAACTAAATACTCTTTATGGGAAGGCCCAGCTGTGGGATTAACCAGTCAGTGCTAAAATGGTAGTTTCAGGCATAGGCTTAGCAGCTCACTGAGAAAGAGACAAGGCAATAAATAGCAAATACTGTAATGTGGGAGATAATCTACACACACCCAGTATGGAAAAGACTCCCAGTCAGACCTGAGTCTCTAAGACATACTGAGTAGACACACTGATATATTTACATCCCTCTACGAAGCATAGTATACGTATGTTTAAGCACAAATGGTCTGAAATTATTTTGGGATCCAAAAACATTAACTCATACAAAGTGACTGATAATTAGGGCCTCTATAAAAAAAACAGGGAGAAGGGATACCAACAGCCCAAGACCTGTGGCAGGACAGTGGTACTATGGAATGTTGGCTGAAGCATATTAAAGTTAACCACAACCACTTAACAAGAAGAATGTGATTTTTTTCATCCATTTTGTTAAGCTATTGATCGCAGATGCTGCTGGGGAGGGGTATGGTTGAGAGTATAGAAGAGGAACATTTTCCTGATGGACCCATGCTCCAAATGACCAGGTAAAATTGGTTTTAGTAATATTTGATATCGAAAATAGTATCTAAGAACATGTAATATAAAAATTAATGACAGTTTATATATTTTTTATATTAAATCTTCAAAATCCAGATGTATTCCTGCATATATACCAGATCTACTTGGTCAGAATCCTTGAGAGTGAAGGCCAGGAATCTGCACTTCTAATAAAGCTTTCCAAGTAATTCTTAAGATCAGGCACATTTAAGAATCACTGTGCTAACAAATAATTTTTTTTACTCCTTTACTTACTCCTTCCAGGACTACGAGTCTTCCCCGCTTTGGTGAATGTTGTGAAGATATATACTATTTAATTTATAGTGTGTGTTATCTTTACTGATTTTATATATTTAGCATAATTTGTACTTTACTTTATAATTAGCTTATTAAGATATACTGGAGTACAACTCTCTATTACTTAGGAGAATGCCAAATGTATAACCAATACCCACAGGGTTACTCATCAAGATATGTACATATATATAATTTTTACATATTTATTATGTTAACTACAATTTTAACTAAATGATGCAGTACCTATGATGAGCCTTAAAATGGTAAATCTTAGATTTAAAGGCTTAGAAAGCTAAATAATCAGACAATACAACAATTTTTCTAGACTTACCTTAGAAAATTCCTTTGTGGGCAGCTAATAAGATATTAAAATTCAACATGCATAATAGTTTGTAATCAAAATACTTCAGTTAGAAAAAGCTTTTTCTGTTTTCGAAAGCTAGAATAAGACTGCCACATTACTAGAATAAGACTATCCTCTTTACTTGGGATATGGCTGTACTGCAGAAATTTTTAATGAGTGAGAGATAAAAAATAGGATTTACATAGCAACATCTTTGAAAAGTGCTTCTCTATTAAATTTCTATAAGCTACAGAAGTAAAACCTGAAGTTTACAAATTTATGATCCAAGCTATAATTGAGCTGTATAATAAATAATAAACCTCAGACTCAATACGATAGAAGAGATCTCATCATCCAATATAAAAGCTGTATTATCGAATGCTACTAAAGAAAGTTAAGACCATTTACTTGTTAGTTCTCCCAGTCTGTGCAAGGCAAAGCCTCTTCTTCATCCTCCGACTCAGGGGATGCTTCTTTGATTCTTCTCAGAGCTTCATGGATACTCCGTGTTAGAGGGTCTGAGTCAGGAAGAAGTGTGAAGGATTCTCTCAAAACCTCCTTTTGTACTTTCTTCAATTTTACCCCCTTTCTTATTTGTGCCAAGATATTATTGTCATCTTCATCAGGAAAAGGAGGCAGAGTTCGCTGTTCGACCTTTTTCAGATGAAAACTACCACGCTTCAAGGAAGCTAGCACCTCATCCATGGGTGAGCTCACTTTAGAGAATGAAAGAGAACAATTAGTTAGGATCACACAATGAGTCAAACTATATAACCTCTAGACTTTAAGACCGTGATAGCCCAGGATACTGGAAATACCATCTAAAAAATGGATCATGATGTGTGGACAGGAGACTGCCAGAGCACATGGGATCCCAATTACGCTTATTAAAAAGAAATCCCAAGACTCAAGTTTCATGTCAGGCATTATTGGTATTCTTATCATTTCTCATGTGAGCTATGGGAACAGACTGGGAGCTGCGAGGTGGTCGTTAGCAATATCCATAATGCAGCAGCCCAATCTAAATTCAGACAGTGACTGGGTTACACTTTTAATTTTTAAAAAATTAAATTTTGGTTCATTATAGTGATTGTGCTTTTTTCTCATTTAGTTATTTTACATATGAAGTTCTACTTGGGTTATAGTAAAAAAAATATTTTTCAGGATGGTTAAATGTAATATACAAAATGTTCTATATAATGTTGTCCTTATGCAAGTTACAGCTCCTTACGAGCCAGGGTTATTTGGTTCTTTTAAAAAATAGCTTTAAGGCATATCTGACATGCAATAAATTGTACATTACTCCTTAATCTTCTTTGCTTCTTTACACAAAGAGTATACCAAAGCCCTCAATAAATAAGCAACCAAATGTTACACTGTTCTGCCAATGTCATCCTAGTGTGATAGTCCTGACCAGATGGTTTACCTTTCTCATGTGAATACCTTTATTTCACAGGTTTAAAATCAGACTTTTAACACAAAAGGAGCCACCTACTATGTAGTACCAAATAGATCAAGTATCACTTCAGAAGCTATATTTTTAAAAACATGCCTAACAGCTAAAGAAGGTACGCATTTCTGTGTCTATACACATTTGTCAATGTGGGTTGGTAAGAATTCTGCATTGCTGTGACCTTGAAAACCTGTTTGCTAATATCCAAAAATAATATGTTTTAAGCTTTGTAAGGTTCTATACAATAAAAAGTCCTTTGATTATGCCTCACTTTATTCAACAGATGACACAAAGATATCTTTTTAACTTACCTCTCCTCCTCTGTAAACCTTCAGCAGTCTTTTTGAGCTTCTTCCTGGCACTGACCAGCTGGCTACTGTCAAACAGGTGTGCTGAAGGGGCACTCGCAGACTTAGGGATCCTCTTCTCATTCCCCTCCATTCTAGACAGACCTTGCTCCAGTGTCTCTGGGTTGTTGTCCCTAGCAAAAGGGAGAGGTGGCGGTGGTGGGGGAGGGGGAGGAGGTGGTGGTGGTGGCGGTGGTGTTGGAGGAAGAGGTGGTGGGAGTGGATCTGTGGTAACAGAACCTGGTTCAAGGTCAATATTATTCAAAAGTGGAAGAGAAACAGTGGGAGGCAGTTCCAAGGTAACACCACTGAGAGGTAATGAAGTGGCTTCAAGTTGTACTAATGAAGTATCTTCAAGTTGTCCAAGGCTTCGGGCTTTTGCTGTCTGTGATGACCCAAGTTTGCCTCTTCCTTCCTCCACCTCTTCACTTTTCTCTTCTACCTGAAGTGTTCCTGGTAGAGAGTCGCACTGGTCCTCACAGGGCACAGGACTGGCGACACCCGTTCCTCTTGCATGAGTCAATCGCAATCTGGTGGATTTAAGTATGACTTGACCAGGGTACCTCTAAAAAAATCAGAAGTTAGCATAACTGGTTAAATTATATTAAAACTTATGAATAAATGACTATTTTCTCCTTCAAGTGTAAAATGTTATTTTGGAGCTTTTGTAATTTTCAGAGAAAATTCTTTAATGAAGTTATACAGAAAACCAGAATACCTTTCAGTTATCACTAAATTCTGTATTATTTATCAAATCCTTTATCAGGGTCTTGTTCCCTTATCCATTTAAGAAGTCAGCTGTTCGAAATTACCAACATTAAAAAAACTCTTTACTAAATAAAATTATGAATTCAAATGGAAAAATAATAATAGTGATGTAAACTAGACAACATAAGTATCAAACATATATGCAGAAAGCCAAGGAACTATTATTAGTTTCTTACATGTTATTTTTAAATGCTTACAGATAAAATTTTTTGGACTACTGATATACAGAACTCTCATTCTACATTTTTACTACAGTAAAAACTATCATTAATTAATTTACTTTACTCAAGGTTTATCCTTGTATTAAGGACCCTGCCCACTCTCTCAACCCTTTTTTACTATAATACTAAGAGGACTTGATCAAAAGCTTACTTTGCCTATAAGAAGATCCCTCACCACAGACAGTGGAAGTAAGGCTCCTTAGTACTTTAACAACCAAAACCATTCAGCTTAAGCACAGTTCCAAGGAAATATTTAGCTAATGTGAATCAGTGTTCAGAGTCGTGGGTTAGCCTGGTAAGAGAACTGCTGAAGCATTTCTCATGTATGTTGATCCACCCTTTAATTCTGCCAGTGGTCATTTCCACAGATAATTAACATAGGTGGATGGATGTATGTGGAATTAATAATAAGTTGATATGTGAAATGGACAGTTGGTTGTGAACTAATTTTATAAAACTCAAGAGGAATCTAAGCTTCCCAGAGGCCTGGACCATTCCTCTTATACTAAAGTGGTAGGCCGAGGGTCACAAGAATATTAATTTTGGGAATGAGAGGACAGGCAGCCATCCAATCCAAAAATTAATTTAAAAACATAATAAAAAGGACTCCCATGATTATAATTATTTTTTAAATAACAAAGGGAAAACCAAGTATTCTCATACAAAGAAATCGTACAATTGGAGTACGCATGTAGCTCTATATAAAAAGCAATGGAAAATAATAAACTGACCATACTTTTATTACCTGTTTAAAAGTTCGAAGTCTATCCAGTGTTCTCTGTCTTTCTTGGCTAACCCAGGCACTTTTTCGTTCTTCTTCATCATGTAATTTTTCTCTCTTCTGGTAAAAAATTAATAGTAATTCCATTACAATCTACCCCATTAATGGGAAAAAAGGAAAAGAGTTCTCCCAGTATGTAAACTGGATAACTCCAGAGAATAATGCATTAGATAAAATGTTTTATGAAATGAAGAACTATTAGTTTTTAATAAAAATTATCATTTTAAAATTCAAAATGACAAAAATAATACTCTTTTATATTCTGCATTTGTTCCCAATTCAAGATGTTTGCTTTGTAAAATAAAGTCTTCTGTGAACTAAGAAATGTTTCATCTTTGGAGCTGTGGCTTAAACAATTTTAGTATGAAATACTTGTAGCTGCTGTATTCTGCTAACTCAAATAGTGGACCTTAAAAATAAAATCAGCAACCAGTTGGTCAGTAATTTAGATATTACACATTACATCAACCAATATAACCGGCATAGTAAAAAAGAAAAGTACTTACAGCATTATACATGAATCATTTGGTTTATCATACCTTACAGTTGCCAGTTAATCTGCACAAAAATTTAAAAAATTTCCCATGTTGTTGAATCACCTATAAGCTGTCTAATTAAATCTCATTTGGCAGAACAAATATTAAATAAATGAAAAGGCTTTCTAGATAGGTAGATGGGTTATGGCTTTATTTTTACTTTATTTTAAAAAATTAGAAATGCTTCCCACAAGATCAGATAATTTCATATGGAGGTGATGGTGGTCTCCAGTGTATCATTAACCTGTCTTTCTTCCATTCATCTGCTGTCCTTTTCCAATTCAATCCTCCATTATTCTCTTATTCTATTACCTCTCTCTTCTTCCCCACCAGCTTTGTCCTGGACAATATAATTTCTAATAAGAGTTACTGCTGACATTTGTCTTGGATGATGATAACAAAATCTAAAGGATGGCTTGACTCTTCAGACTAAAAGTGTGTATCGAGTTTCAGGAACTCTCGTGCACAATGATCAACTGACAAAGTTACTACACTAAAATTCTACAATAAAGACTTGTTATGTGTATCTGGGAAGAAAAATCAAGTCTTATAAAGGCGTGTGGGTGGGGGTTACTTTGGGCCTCTGCATTATAACATTCAATGCTACAAGACAGTGTTGGCAGTGTCTCTAAAATTTTGATGGAGAGGAAACTGATAGCATGACCCAACCAAACTGTCCTTTATGTATAAAGGAAACAGACAAGCATTCTCCAACATGCCAGAACTCAGAAAATACAGCAACCACGAAACTTTCCTGAAAGAGTATCTTAATGAAATCTAACCAACTCCAAGATGAATCAAAATAAACTTAGAAAAAGAGAAGCTGTGGCAGGGAGTACTTACTGGATGGTAACAAAAGGTAACCCAAAGTGGGTTTCTGTTAACTTTATTAGTCTGGGTACTGGTTATATAGTTATGTTCACCTTGTGAAAATTCTTCAAGTTATATACTTATGAGGTATATACTTCTTTATATGTACATTATGTATGTATTATGTTTCAAAACAATAAAAAGTTTTCATAACAAAGTATTGTTTTAAGAAAATGAGAACAATGATTGTGCAGGGCACATACCAGAGCACAGAGGAAGTAGTATTAAAAGAAGCCATCGTGAGCAAAATAATCAAAAAAGGTCTGATCAGTTTCCATAAACTACAGCTTAAAAGTATTCCATGGTACTGGTACTTTATTGAAATGAAACCCATGATTTATGAGTATGGTTACATAAAACAAGAATGCATTTTTTAATGGGGAGAACTGACTTGTTTCCTGACTACCATTTCCTTCCCTTACCCAGTTTGTCTCTGAGCTTAAAAAAACAAAGTAATATGCAAGTAATTTTATATATTTTAAACTATTCTGTTTTAGAGCTTACTATTAAATAGTAAACTACCTTAGTCTTACATATTTAATTTGCAAAAATATCTAGAAGAAATTTTTGAAACAATAAGGCTAAAATCTAGGGGTTTATATTTTAAACAATCTACCACCCAAAAGATTTTGATAACGGTGATTTAAAACTAACTTTGAAAAACAATGATTTAAGTCAACTTTCATTTCCCTCTATCTATGCATGTTAAAATGACTAGATGGTTAATGGATTCATTCTTCCACAATGAAGTATTCCACCTAAAGTTGGTATTAGGCAAATAACATTATGCAGATGATGTTTATCTTTGAGATTCCTCCAAATATCAATTTCTTCATTTTTACTTTTCTTTTACCCTATACAACTCTTTGAGAAAGAATTTGCTATTCATTCTAAAAAGTTATTTAGTTACTCCATCCACCAAAGTATTGGCATTTCATCAGAAGTCAAAATATTCATGTAATAAGGAACAAATTCTAAGTGTGGAACCTCAATAACAAGCTGACAGTGCAGGTACTGATGGTGACAGTAAGGGGCACTCTCGTACACCTGCTGCGCTGGCCCCTTTGTCTAAACTTTCTTACAAAGCTGTTTTTGATCCATGAAAATAGTAATGAAAAATAAAAGTACAATGATTAATTTTGCTATTTCTACACTCTTAAGAGAAAGGTGAATCATACAGTTAACGGGTAGTTCAGCTACTTTTATATGTTTAAAATCAAGAATAAGGGGCTTTAGTATAACATGTACCAAAATGAGCTTAAGTGATAATATTGACAAATTTTAGCCCTTTGGCCTTTAGTGTGACACTAAAGAAAAAAAATTTAAGTAAGCATATATAGTAATATAGTCATGTCAGCATTTCTACTATTTAATGAAATACAAATCACTGGTGTTGACTAACCTAAGACATGTGTCTGAAAAGACTACTATCAGGATAATATACTGCAGGCATGATGAGGTACAGTAATACTGGGAATAGAAGATTTTTAATGTGATTTTTTAAAAACTGGACTAATGGTCTCAGCATAGTATAATTAGAAGGGAATGTCTTCAACTTTATAAACAACATTTACGAAAAACCCTACAGCTAATATCGTTCTACTGGTGAAATCTAGAAGCTTGTTAAGATCAGGAAAGACAAAGATGTCCCCTCTAAGCACTCCTTTTCAACATCTTATTGGAAGTCTTACCTAATGCAACAGGACAAGAAAAGCAAATAAAAGGTATACAAATTGGGACAGAAAAAAATAAAACTGTATTTGCAGATGATGATTGTCTATATAGAAAATTTGAAAGAACCAACAAAAAAAGAAAACTCCTGGGACTAATAAGCTATTACAGCAAAGTTGCAGGATACAAGGCTGACATGTAAAAGCCAACAACTGTCTAATGTACCAGCATCAACAACTGGAGTTTGATATTGAAAACTATATACATTACCACTTCAATACTATTTACATTAGCATGGAGGGGTGTGAGATCAATAGATTTAGGTACAAATCTAATATGTACAAGATCTACTGAAGCAAACTATAAAACTCATAAAAGAAATCAAAGAACTAAATATATGGAGATTAATTTCTTGCTCATGGATAGAAAGACTCAATATTGTTAAGGTTTCAATTATTCCCAATTTGATCTATAGATTCAATGCAATCTTAATCAAAAATCCTAGCTGCTTACTTTATGGTTATTGACAAGCTGATCCTAAAGCTTCTTCAGAGAGACAGAAGACCTAGATCAGTGAAACAAAATACAGAACTCAAAAATAGACCCACATAAATATAATCAACTGATCTTTAACAAAGGAGCAAAAGGCAATTCAATAGAGTAGACAGTTATAAAAAAAAGTTTTGCTACAGACCTGCAACCTTTATAGTAACTCAAATAGTAACTCAAAATGGATCACAGACCTAAAGGTAAAATGCAAAACTATACAGCTCCTAGAATATAAGATAGGAGGAAATATAAATGACATTGGGTTTAGTGATGACTTTTTAGATACAACAACAAAGATACAGCCCATGAAAGAAAGGCTGGTAAGCTGGACTTCATTAAAATTAAAAACTTCTGCCCTGTGAGAAAGACTGTCAAGAGAATGAAAGGACAAGGCACAGATTGGAAGACATTTGCAAAAGACATATATGATAAAGGACGATTACAGAGCACATGCAAAGAATTCTTAAAACTCAACAATAAGCAAACAACTCAGTTAAAAAAAATGAGCAAAAACTCTGAAGAGACACCTCACCAAAGAAGATATACAGATGGCAAATAAACATTATGAAAAGATGCTCAACATTATATGTCATTAGGAAACTGCAAACTAAAACAACCATGAGATACCACTACACATCTATCAGAATGGCTAAAATCTGAAACATTGATAACACCAAATGCTGGTGAGGATGCAGAGCTACAGGAACTCTCATTCACTGTTAGTGGGAATGCAAAATGGAACAGTCACTTTGGAAGACACTTAGTAAATGTCCTACAAAAAAAAAAAAATTAAACATTCTAACTATACGATCCAGCAATGCACTCCTTGGTATTTACCCCAAAGAGTTGAAAACTTATGTACACATAAAAGATTGTTTGGTGTTTACTGCAGCTTTATTCATAATTGCCCAAACTTGTAGGTAACCAACATGTCCCTTCAGTAAGTGAATGAACTTACTGTCGTACATCCAAGCAATGGATTATTCAGTGCTAAAAAGAAATGAGCTATCAAGCCATGAAAAGACATGGAAAAACCTTAAATGCATACCAGTAAGTTAAATAAGCCAATCTAAAAAGGGTACGTACTGTGTAATTCCAATTAAACATTATGGAAAAGGCAAAACTATGGAGACAGTAAAAAGATCAGTGGTTGCCAGAGGTTTGGGTAGAGAGGGATGAATAGGTAGAGCACAGAGGATTTTTAGGGCAGTGAAAATATTATAATACTATTAATGGTGGATTCATGTCATTATACATGTCAAAACCAATAGAATGTATACTCCAAGAATGAACTCTAATGTAAGCTATGGGCTTTGAGTGATGATGTGTTAATGTTGGTTCACTGTAACAAATGTACCCCTCTTGTGTGAGATTTTGCTAATAGGAGAAGTTATGCATGTGTGTGCTTTTTGCCTAGAACGTCTCTAAGTTATAAGTACGTGTACATACACAGTGAACTATTGCTAACATCTACATATAATATCTTCTTATTCTTTATAGATTTTATTCATGTTGATAAATGTAAAAATCAAACTTTTGTTCTAAGTCTCCAAGAGTCCAAACTTACTAGTTGTAGTGTATGATGGGTTCTATATTCCTCTTCACTCTGAAGGCGCTGCTGGAATTTTTCATTGTGTTTTGCAATACAAATTTCCTATAAATACATAAAATATGTTTTAATATATGTGAAATCTAAAAGAGCCAAAACACCATACACCAGGGTTTACTTGATAAATTTTAATCTTAACATAGCAAAATACCAAGCAAATGGCCTCTGGTTTCTCATTAGAAGTATGAAGCAACATAAGCCAAATAATCAGGATCTTAAAAAGACTCTTCTATCAAACTATTAAAGCTTCTCTAGAACTCTTGATTTCTCTTTTTTAGAGCAGGAGAGATGGGGGCAAGGCAGAGTGGAAGGAAGGTGTCCTTATATAATCTCAAAGGTCTCTTTCACAGTTCCAAAATCTGTGGTCAAAAGATTCTAAGTCTTACTGTACTCTTTAAATTATTCTGGGTAAAAAGGGACATACAACTCTTGGCTTAAGGTCTGTATCCTGTGATGAGTTAAAAAAATGACTTTGCTTGGACTGGTTTAAACAATATCATGAAATCTGAATCTTCTGGTCATTGACTTCAGAACAAAAAGAGACCATAAAGACCAGAAATTAGGAATTATAAAGAAAATATAGGTATGCTTTTTTTAATCATATAAAAATAAGAACACAGTATAAAATAGGACATATGTGCTTCTTTACAAAACAATGCACTATCATCTGGCAACTTTTTAGTGGCGCATGCTAAGTCTTAATTTTCCCTGGGTCCTTTTGACAAGTCCTCCAGCTAAAAGGGTTTACATTAGTTTCCAATATTCTCAAAGTTTACCAAAAGATTAACTCTTCTAACCAGAGAAAGGCATTTAAGAAATGACCTTTTAAACCAATAAAGCAACTGTTTATATCATATTTTTTACAATACTGGGTTGAAGTCGGTTGCCTAACAAGAGATTCTTGAAATGAACCAGTCCTGGTCAGTCTCCAGGGGAAAATAAAGGCAGCATTATATAGTGACATGATATAGTGCTATAATGACTCAGGCTTCTAAGTCACACAGACCTAGTATAGAATCCTAATGTTGCCCTATACTAACTGCTTTTCCTTGGGTCATTTAACTACTGAACACCTATGTTACTTTAGTTATAAAATGAAGATACAGGTTCACTATCCCTTATCAAGAACAGAGATTAGTCGTGTTTTGAAATTAAATTTCTTCCCAGATTTCAGAAAGGTGATAATGTTACATATACCATATAATACCCAGTAACTCCAGCAGGATCTAAAGATACACCCCATAAGAACTCTTACTTTGCTTTAAAAGGTATGCAAGTGTTAGTGACAAACTGGGTTAGAATTATTAGCTATGGATCAAAGATTAGGTAATACATAAAAGCAAGATTTAAAATTACAGCTATATATTCAATAAATTCTTAATCTATTATGCCTTTTTATTTCTGAGGTAGGCTTTCTTGGCTGAAACCCGTCCACGTCTTGCTTCTAGCTGGCGTGCTTTCTGCTGAAGTTTCTGTAGCTCTTCCCTCTGTAAATGCAATGACGCTGCCATCTCTTCCTTCTCCAGCATGGCCTCCATACTTTCATAAGTGTCATAATACACCACTTCATCTCTCTTTTCTGTTACAGAATAGCAACAAGGGGTAGTTGTTAAGAGCATGGGCTGCAAAGACAGAACAGGGTTCTAATCCACTTAATTGGCTCTGTAACCTCAGGCAAAGCCATTACATCTTATAAGGTATTCAATCTTTTGTGGACTTATGTGGTTAAATGTACACCATACCTGATATAAGTCTTTTGATGCTTTCCAGTTGTGCTGTCAATAGTAACTCTTCACACTTCAAGATTTCAAACTGTACTTCATACAACTGAAGTTGCAGATCATAATAATCAGCTTCTAACTGATCCAACTGAGCTATGGCTTCTGTACCACCCTGCAAACTCTGCATCTGCATTGAAAATAAAAATAAGAACACTTCTGGTTGGAGGGGACAAGACAGTGAATTCTTATTGCTACAAAATAATCCCTTCTGGCTGGTGAGTTAGGTGAAATATGTTAGCATATAAAGAGAGTATGTTCTAAACAAGATTCCAGCCTTTCCTTTACATTCTAGATATCTATAGTCTTACCTAATGATTCTATTCTTCTTAGTATATAATTTCAAAATTCTTTAACAAAAATTTTGAACTGTGAAGCAATAGTTAGGCTATGGTCTAAATGTGCAACAATATACGTTTAAAAATAATCAGATGAATTAAATACAGTGCTGTTTAATAAATGTTGTAAACATTTTTAAAATAAGTATTTAATAAACTAAGTTATAAGTCAGTGGTCCTGCTGTATTAGGTAATATGTTATGAGTGACAATAACACACAATATATATAGAACAAACCCCAAATGGGTTTAATTATAGTGGTTCGTGGAGGGGAATGTCGACAAAATGAAATTCTGCTGTTTTTGTCCAAAGTCATAAAAGAAGAACCTAGGAGTGATTTCTTTCCTGAAACTCCCAGTCTTACTTTAAATTATAAGCATCCCTTTACATACTATCTTGGAGCTCTTGTCCAGCTCTGGAGACCACAGCTCCAGGATGCATCTTCCTCTGTTATCTGCACCCATACTTTCTATGAGCACAGCATACAAAGAGGTAAAATACTTGATGTTAGAAGGCTTTATTCTCTAAGTGGGGAATTATAATCAGTAAAATCTTAGTGTGAATCAGTCCACAAACCATCTAAGATCAGTTCTCCAGTGATACTGTTCACTGTCTGGTCCAGGCTGTTAGTTCTCTGACCATTTATCTGCCACCACATTCATGACACTGTGCTAAGGCTCCCCTCTAGCATTCTCCTGTTTGATTCTTTGGCTAAGAAAGGAAATTCAAAGTGCCTTGCTGACATAGCTTTACATTGTCAGCTACCTCAACTGCAAGTAAAACAATATTCTGATCCCTGCCCAGGGCCCATGTACCTTAAAAACACTTGAGATGCACAGTGATACCAGAATACAACAAATATATCAAACTGAAAAAGGAAGGGGGTATTCTCTTACAGTAAGTGACCTCGCCCCCAATTTTCTGGTTTAGTGAGTTCTATTCATAGTAAGGGAGTCCAAAGGTGGATTTGCAATGGCTAGGTTCAGAAGGACAAAACCTTATCAGAGGCAAAGGTGCACACAAGGGATCTGTTAAATCCCAACCTCAGAAAGAACAAATAATAGGGTAGTGGTGGGCCCCAGGAAAAGTTAAAGGGCTGTAGTACCAGGGCAGAGAGGACTTTTATGGAATAACCTGAGGAGAAAGGGAGAAATGTCAGGGAAGTCTTAGAGAGCAAAGCAGTGCTCTCGGGTTTATCTAAACTTCAACGCAGAGGCGAAATCCTTAGTGAAAAGCATGGAGAGATATGGGAAGGCTACACTGCTCCGAATCTCTTCCCTATAACATCTGAAGTTTCCAGACTGATTTTTTTTCCTGGTACCTAACTCAGCTGACAGCCACAGAACTAAGGGAATGGGAATCCAGAGTGGAAGGAGCACCAATTCCAGACAATGGAGCCATGGAGAGAAGGTAGGTACCACAGATGGCACATCTTTGTTATACTTGGGGGTAGTACTTCCCTGGACAAGAAGGAAGCCTAGAAAGTAGGTTAAGTGCTCAAAAAAGTAGATAATCAAGTGCCATTAAAAACTCTGCTACCTTGAAATTTTACTCAGCTCAACTTTCACCCTTCTAAATAAACAAACTTTTGATATCAGGATATCAAGACCCCAACCCCAACCAAACTGTGACTTCCAAAGTAACCCAGGTAATATCAGCAATGTTGGAACTAGACCCAATTCTCCCAATTCCTTCCAAAGATAGTCTTCCTACTAGGCAAAAGCAGAGGGCACCGTTCTAATACATACAGAAAAGTAAATCTAGCAAGGAAATGAAGTACCAGTCGACGTCCATATGTCCACATAAGTACATCATGCACTACTGACCACACAGATGATCCTTTCCTCCGTACACAATGTAGTAGTTTTCATGTGTACCTATCTTGACTGACTATATCGTGAAAAAAGATATAAAGCAATTTATATAAACTAATGATGTTTTTGTCTTGCCTTTCACCCTACTGTGCTAGAAAACCCCATGACACATGAGGGGCTATGAAAAACAGCTTTCAGAGTATCTGTGGGTTGAGCCAATCATTCAACAAATATTCACTGAGCATCCACCACTGTGTGACTTACAGAGAATATAGCAGTAGACAAGAAATGAAATGAAGGTTCAAACAGTGGTCATAAAAACCATGCACAGCATAAGAGAAATAACATTAAAGGCAAGGTCAGCAAGCTCTCAATCAAGACTAGCCTTTTTATGTGGGAAAGATGGCAAGGACACACGACCTAGAAACAGACATCTGAGTATAAATACAGGTTCCACCAATAACAGCTATACAAATATAGATAATGCATGTAAGATGACAGAACTGTCTAAAATTCCACATTTCAGAAATCTTAGAAAACTGAATATATCACTAATTTCTTTGATGTCAAAACCTAACCTCACAATTCACTTGTAGGAATATATGATATGAATTGATGTGAGTCCCTATTTATTCCATTTAATGTAATATCTGTATGTTTTATTACTGGAATACTAACTCTTGTCTGGAAGTTATATGCCCTAAATTGGCTTCCTAAAATCTAAAAAACTAAGAATTCTGAAATTTAGGGGTTTCAGATAATGGCTCATGGGATTGTAGTATAAAGAATTATATTTGAGAATTCAATGTCCTCTGTGGTATACTGTAAATACTCAATAAATACTTGATGACTTCAATAAAGTGACATAGAGGAACATAACCTTAATTAATCATAATTTAGTCATGTGCTTTTAAGAGAAAGACAAAATTATGAAATAAGGAACTAGCCTCGGGGTTGTTCAGTACAAGTATATCAGATTATAACATATAGTTATAATCATATAACTATATGTTATATGATTATAACATATAGTTATAATCAGCTCTAGCAGTTTATATATGTTCATAGAGATGACCTCAAAAAATAATTTTTTTAAAATGGATGGGGAATGACTAAAATTCTCTACATGACAAGAAAGTATACTGACATATTTTTAGAACTTTCAACCACAAGGATTAAAATCCAAGTAGTTTTCTGGTTAATTTCCTATTAACCAGAGAACATGGTTAAACTGAAGATAACAGTCCACAAGGTGAGATGTGACTATATTTTCTATGATTTATTTCCTGATGGTATCTTAACTTTAGTACCTATTTCAATGAATAACTATAAAGAAAATATCACTATTTCATTAATTAACCTTATTTTAATAATACTTCCAATATATATCCTACTCCTAACTTTGTGTGGTTATATGCAGTTTAATCTTGTCCAGTAGTTTAAAATATGTCTGAAAGTACGAGTATATCAGATTGTGCTGGTTTTTTTTTTTTTTTTCAATTTGAGTTGACATTTAATATTATTGTATATTAGTTTTAGGTGTACAGCAGAGTGGTTAGACATTTATATAATTTTCGAAGTGATCCCCCCAATTACTCTAGTACTCACCTGGCACTATAACAGTTATTAAATATTATTGACTATATTCCCTATGCTGTACTTCACATCTCTGTGACTATTTTTTAACTACCAATTTGTATTTCTTAATCCCTTCAACTTTTTCATCCAGCCCCTGTGCTATTATTTTAAAATCTGAATTGGTGAGGAGTAACTACTGAAAAGTAGAGTAAGGTAGTCACAAAAAATTTAAGTAAACCTGGATTCTTTCCAAAGTAATGGGCCATAAAGGCACTGACAGTTTCAGTTTTTGATGGGAAAATATGAACATCTGAGGACAATCTGGGTCAGAGGCTCAGGTACAGATTATTTGGGAACCTACTAAATTTGTGTGCAAAGCTGTATGTGTATGTGTATTTCTCTGAGTACAGAGTTCTTAACTTTCAAATTATTAAAGAGGCAAGTAGACTGTGACCTAAAAAGGGTAAAATGACTACAATCAAGACAGAAACAAGTTAAAAAGGAGATAGACTAAAAGAAATGGTACTTATTTAGTGTAGTTGAAGAAAACTTAAAAGTCAAATAGAATTTTGCTTGCCCAGGTAATATTTAATATTTAATATTTCAGCATTAATTTAGAAATTTTGTTTCAAGTTCAGCATTATACTCATAGAAAATATCACTATTTTCAACTTGATTTCTACTTGTAATTTTTAAAGTGGTTTCTTCTGTCATGTCAGGAAGTTGTTGTCTCTAAAATACCTGAGGAGATACAACCTATCAACATATTTTAAACTACGAAAGTCTCCCCCATAACTTAAATTAATGGGTAGTACTGTATTATAAAACTTTCGCTGGCAAAGCATTTGTTTGGGATGGGCTTAATAATTGACATTTGTTCTGTTTCTGTTTCTCGTGAGTAATGTGGTCACCTTAAATTAATGCTAATAAAACTGGTACAGTACATCACAGATACATATAAAAAGCACAATACATACATTATATATACACAACAAGCATAAACATGGCAAGAATGACTGACAGTTTTACCAAAACCTTTGAAGAATTCAAACACAATCCAGAACATTAAAAACAGATTATTAAGGTAATAGGATGGCCCCAGAGAAAATGACCCCACAGATAATCATCAGCCCAGACTCTAAGGGCCCATTTCAGCCTCACCCTTCCAACACCCTAGACCAATTCCAGTAAGAACAATGTTCTTGCAGTAGCAAGTAGTCAGAAATCTTACACTCAGCAGTTCTTTTAGACACTCTATGTTGTCAGTACAACCCAACTGTCAGCCTGGTTAGAACAATAAAGCTAGTCAGTGTGATGAAAACAAAGGGTGGTACCTCTACTTTATAGGCAATAAAAACATGCTAGAATTTTAAGTTTTAAAAGTTCTAGAACTTAAGAAAATTCCAGAAGGTAGTAACATAAAGAGAAAGCTAAGTAGAAAGGAGACTATAGTAGAAATGCCTCAGGGGAGTATGAGAAGGGTCTGAAATTTTTGCAAAGAGATTCTGGATATAAAGTGTGAAAAGGTTCCAGGAAAAGGCAAGTTCCAGTATTATCTTTAACAATAGTAACAATTAAGAAAATGTAAGGAAAAAAATAAAACTACAATTTAAAATCCAAAATATTTCTTCCCGGATCACAGCCGTGATACGCTATTTCATCTCATATACTATTTTTTTTTTAACAAGAGATAAGCATATGTACTTTTAAATGTCTATGATGACTATACTGGTATACCTAAGCCCCAAAAACTTTAATAAAGCTGTATTGATAAAAACAGACAACATTTTGTTCTTCTCTGCAGACAAAAATGTACTGCTTTCACAAATACATAGTTAATGTTTTAAAAACCAATATGGTTGATCTACAGAATGGGAGCAAATATGTACAAGTCATATATTTAATAAAAGACGTATCTAGAATACATAAAGAACTCTTTAAACTATGCTGTATATGTGAAACTAATATAATACTGAATGTCAACTGAAAATGAAAAATTTTATAAAGGTGGGGTGAAGGGGAATAAGAGGTTCAATTTTCTGGTATAAAACAAGTCATAGAGATATAATGCATAACATGGGAAAGAGAGTCAATTTTGAACAACTGCTTTTAGATATATTCTAACATATATATCAGTGACTCTTTTCAAGAATTTCTAAGACTATTCCTTTTTTTTTTTTTGTATCCATGAACAGATTCTAATGAAGCACAGTCAAATTGGACCTCTATTTAACCCTGCTTTGTTCCAGAAGGAATAAAACGGGAAGTTCCAAAAGGTAATGGTTTGAGCATAATATAATCAAGTCTAACAAAATGTTACTGCCTTAGGATTTTTACTAAACTTCTCTGGGCAGTAAAACTAATTATCAGAAAGCTTTGAATGTTACAGTACAAAAAAATTTAAAGACAACAAAGAAATTCTGACATCATTGTTTCTGTTTTAATAGTGCATTGCTATCTACAGTCACACTGTGATACTGTGAAAATACCATGTGTCTAACTGTTCTATTAGTGGCAACTCAAATCATAGGCCCCATCATGAGTATTATCATCGTCTCACAAATAGAGTGCAAAATTAACAGTTGCCTGTAGAGTCAGAAAAATGTTAGTCTTGTACAAAGATAAAAATCAAGTAGCAAATCTTAATTTTTAAAAAAATTTATATATTTTTTCTGAGTTTTTGTTACCTCTTCTTTTAGTGCATGTTTCCTCTGTTCCAAGCAGATCTCTTTAGCTCTCATCATCTGCAGAGTCTCCTTAGAAACTGCATACTGTAGTTTTTCCATACGCTCAGCGGCTGCTGCCCATGATGCTTTACCAAATTTCTTCTGATCTGCTCGCATTCGATCGTACACAGCTATTAATAATAATTTTTAAAAAGGATATTAAGACATAAAACAAATTGATACTAACCTCTGCTGGCAAAAATAAAGGTTCTTGCTAAGATGACCATTTACATTATGTTATATAATACAGGATAACAACACTGTAATAATACTCTATGATGATCACTTTAAGTAAAAAGAATCCCTGAAGGCTACACAGTCCTGGTGTTTACAGGTATCATGTTAAAGCTACAAACAACAACAACAACAAAAACCTTAATGTTCTAATTTGTACTTGTCAGAAACAGGCTCATTTAAGATGTTTTTAAAAGTTGAGCAGTAATATATCAAAATTAGGTTACATCTGTCTTTGTATAAGGAAGGAAATAAAAGAAGGACCTGTTTTATACCTCTTCTAAAAAGAAGTTATCTTCTGATTGGAAGCAAAAAGAAGGCTATTAATCTCAACAGTTAAAGCCACACAGAGATGTTTATTCTGTTTCTGTTACATGGGAGAAGGAAAACATGCTCAGAAAAGGAAAATTAAAAGGTCAAGCAAACCTATTCTCTCCTTGTTTGGGCTGAAGGGCTTCCTGCTAAGATAAAATCACCAGAACTTAGATATAAAGAAAGTCTACAAAGACTTTGATGAAGCATTTGAAACTCCAGAATGATGCTGTAATCACATACAAAAATGTTTTGCCTGAAACTGCAGAAGCAAAGTATAAAATAAAATAATCAAAATTGTATAAACTATGAACTATACATCAGAATATACAGAGAATTATTGCAATTATATATAATAAACCAAGCGTAGAAAAAAATTGACACGCAAAGTGGTTGCACAAGGCTGGTAGGATTACAGATGTGGAGTTTCTTGTTCGTCTAATATCTAAATTTTCTGTAATGGTTATATTTTTTTTAAATCACAATGCTGCAAAGACTTTTTTTTAAACATCAAGAAGGGTGCATCTAAAAGGCAGTCTAAACCAAGTACATAGTTAAAAATAGTTTACAGTATAAAAAGATCTTTAAATGTTCAAAGGAACTATTAATAACATAACATACTGTTTTTAGTTTTTATTTTAAAAATTACCATACAGCTCTAGGGCAAATACCCAGGAGAGAGACTGCTGGGTCATATGGCAAAAGTACCTTTAACTACATAAGAAATCGCAAAATCATTTTCCAGAGATTACAATTTTGCAATCCTACCAGCAATGCAGGAAGGGTTCCTGTTACTCTGCATCTTTGTCTGAATTTGGTATTGTTAGCATTTTCTATTTTAGCCAATCTAATAGTCATGCGTTGGTATCTCATTGTGGTTTTAATTTGCATTACCCTAAAGACGAATGATTTAACATCTTTTCAAGGGCTTACTTGCCATCTTTATCCTCTGGTGAAGTGTCTGTTCAAGTCCATTCCCCATTTATTAACTGGATTATTCATTTTCTTACCCCACTATTAATTACATTGTTTACTGAGTTTTAAGAGTGCTTATATACATATGTATTCTGATACAAGTTGTCAGATGTTATTTGCAAATATTTTCCCTTAAATTCTATTGTCTTGTCATTGTTTTGATAGTACCTGGCAGAGGAAAAGTTTTTAACTTTGATGAAATTCATTTTATCAATTTTTTTCTTTTATGGTTCATACTCATTATCATATCTTTTACAGTTTATATTTGTGGTGTCATTGCTAAGAACTCTGTCTAACTCTAGGTTACAAAAACTTTTTCTCATATGTATTCTTTTGAAGTTTTACAGTTTTACATTTAGATTCATTTTGAGTTCATCTTTGTAAAACATGAGGCTCAGGTCAAGGTTAATTTTTCTGCATATAGATGGCCAATAGTTCCAATACCATTTGCTGCTTTCCATTAATTAGCTTTATCAAAAAGTAAATGGCCATATATTGAGTTCATCTCTATAATCTTTATTCTCTTCCACTGATTGAGGAATCTATCCCTTCCACAATTCTATGCCACAGTAGCTCTATAGTAATTTGTAAAGTCAGGTAGTGTGATTCTTCCAATTTTTTTTCCTCAAAACTGTTTTAACTATTGCAGTTCTTTGCCCTTCCATTTAATTAGAACCAGCCCATTTATATCCACCAAAAAAAAAAAAAAAAAAAACCCACTGGTATTTTGACAGATGTTGTGTTAACTCTATAGATCACTTTGGGATGAACTGACACCATTACTATACTGAGTATTCCAATCCACAAACATAATATGTCTATCAACTTATTTACAGATGTTAATTTCTTTCATCAGTATTATAATTGTCAGCATAGAAATCCTGTACATTTTGTTAGATTCATACCTAAATATTTCATTTTGGGAGGAATAATAAATGATGTTGCTTTAAAATTTTTGATTTTTAATTGTTCATTGCCTGTATAGACATAATTCACTTTTGTGTGTTGACCTTATTTCCTGTGACCTTAAGAGTCACTTGTTAGTTCCAAGAGTTTTAAAAAATAGATTCCATACAATTTTCTACATAAACAATGTTATCTGTGAATACAGACTATTTTATTTCTTCCTTTCCAAACTATATGTCTTTTATTTCTTTTTTCTTGCCTTTTTACAACTAGCTTAGATTTACTATATTATGCTGAATGGCAGTGGTAAGAGTAAACATCCTTGACTTTTCACCTGTTTTAGGGAGGGAGCATTCCATTAAAAAGGACGCTAGCTTTTAGGGTTTTGGTAGATGCCCTTTAGTAGGTTAAGGAAGTTCTTTTCTATTCCTAGTTTGCTGAGCATTTTCAGCACACATGATGTTGTATTTTGCGAAATGCTTTTTCAGTATCTACTGATAAACTGATCATGCTTTTTTAAAAAATATTTTCAAGACTGGCGTTTCTCAACCTCAGCACTTTTGACATTATGAGCCAGAAAATGCTTTGGCATAAGGATGGGCATCATAGGATGTTTAACACAATCTCTGGCCTCTATTTGCTAAGTGCTAGTAATACCCTCCATAATTGTGACAACCAAAAATGTCTCCTGACATAGCTAGGTGTGGCAAAATCACCCATAATTGAAAACCACTGCTTTAAACCTTCAATATGGTGGATTACATTGATTGATGTTCACATACTGATAGAAGGAGGATAAGGCCCACTTGGTCATGGTTGTTGTTTTAAAGTATTTTTATTAATATTTTAAAATGTGTCAATATTTCGTTGAGGATTTTTGCATCTATTATGTAGAATACTGATCTGTAGTTTTCTTTTTTTGTATTGTCTTTGTGTAGTTTTGGATTTAGGGTATTGCTAGTCCCATTCGATACAAATTAAAACTGTTCCTCTTCTATTTTCTGGAAGAGAAACATTATTATTTAAATGGTAAATCTGCCAGTGAAACCATTTGGGCCTGGAGAATTTTTTTTTTTTTTTTTTTTGTGGGTGGGGGGAAATTTGAATCTACAAATCCAATTTCTTTAATAGTTATAAGAATATTCAGGTTATTTATTTCATCTTGTGTTAATTTGTAGTAGTTTGTATTTTTCAAGGAATTGTTCTATTTCATCTTTGTTAAATTTGTAAGCTGAGAGTTGTTTGTAGTATTTCCCTTATTATCCTTTTGATGCCTGCAAGTTCTATAGTAATATCCCATATTAATATAATGTATTTTTAAATGAAAGATATTTTCATGTGCATTTGAAATATACATGAAAGACTAGGAGATGAAGAATGGTGGCGGAGTAATAGTGTAAGAGATTTTCAAAATTCATTAATCATATTATACTATATCTTTCCAAAAGAATGAGGATGGGGAGGCAAGTAATATGGTTTACTCAAAACTTTCTAAGCCACCTGCTTAGACAAATACCTACATTTCGGGAACAGGAAAGATAGGACACATTAACCTTGGTGGCTCAAATTGTAAAATGAGTTTTAAAGGTAACAATAAGCATCAATGTCAGATACCTCTGACAGCATCTACAGACAAAATCATTCACATTAACATTAAAACAAAAGGTATTGCTGACTAAAATATACCTTAAAAGAATGAAAGAAAGCACTTATAGCAAACACTAAATGTTAGGTATAATTCTTTCTGAAGCATTTTGTTAAATCTAAGAAACAAACCACATTCATTTTACTCCTCAACAAATAGAAATCACCTATAATTATTCACAAAGTTTTCATCATAGCTATCAAATTTCACTTTGTGAAACGTCTGAGTAAGCATCAATATACTATATCATATTCATCACTAAAAGAGGATCAAAGATTTGAAGATTAAAAAAAAGACCTCAAAATCTATTAAAAGGAATGAGGTCCTTTCATAGTAACAAAAATAAAACATAAACCATCCAGAAGTGAACTAAATAAGAAATGTGCAGAACCTAGATAAAAATCAAAAACCAAAAAACCCACAAAACTTTCCTGAATAAAACAGAGACTTGAATAAATGGCAGGGTAATAACAATTATGCAATTTTTTTTCAAATTATCATAAAATATTTGTTTATTTAATAGCAAAGTATTTTATTAAAGTCCTCTTTCAAATTCTAAAACATTGTAGTTTTTATCAGAATTATATTAGTTTGGGAAGAAATCATTCCAATTTAAAAAAAAATGATTATAATACTATCTTAGGGGAAAATAATTAAGTATAACCAAGACTATTTTGAAAAATAATGACGGGATGATTGATAAACTGGGTAATAAATTTCATTATAAAGCTACCATAATTACAGCATATAAAAACAGATAAGGCATATCAATGAAAAAGAGAGTCCAGAAAGAAATCCAAGTATATAAAAGGATTTTTAGTAGGCTTTAACTATTTGGAGGAACACAGAAACTTACTTTAGAAAATACAACAAATTAAGTAACATAATTTAAAGATTTGTAAAGAAATCATTCTTAAAAGCTGATGGTTCTTATAATTAAAATTTAACAAAAAAGTTAAAAGGAAATTTAGGAATATTTACAACAGATGTCAGAGTTAATATACAACTATAATATAAATATAATAAAGATATCAATGAATATAAGGAGCTCTTACAGATCAACAGGAAAAAATACTACCATAGATCAATAGGCAAAAGATATTAACTGGAAAAAAAAGAAAGAACATGTAAATATCAATTAATACATGAGAACAAAAAAGATCAACACACATTAATAATGAGAAATGCAAAATTTAAAAACATGATACTATTTTTCACCTATCAAATTGTTGGTTTAATTTTTCTAATGACAATGCCAAATGATGCTGAGGAATCAAGGAAAGTATTATTCAGCACTGGCACCTTGAAGGAATAAATTGCTTTAAATGAAACTTAAGAAAATGTGCATTTGCTGAAAAAATAATCTGAATGCTAAGTGATATTAATGCCAGGTAAAGAGATAAATTATTAAAATAATAAATAGCAGTGATTTTGAACTGCCTATCAAAGAGCCATGGAAAGATTTCTGCAGCCATCTATTGGAAGGAAGTTAAAAGGTATGGACCTTCACAGACCTTGCCCTACGTGTCTCTTTATTTGACTTGTCCTGACTTATATCCTTTATATACTGTAAGCATGTGCTTTCCTGAGTTCTGTTTGAATCACTGTAGCAAATAAATGAACCTAAAAGTAGCATGGAAACCCCTAAATTTGTAGCCAGTAGAAGTGCAGATGGCCTGAAAACATGACCCCCTAAATTTGTGAATAGTGTCTGAGATAGAGGCTGTGCCTTTAAATTGTGGGGTCTCTAACAGTGAATGGTTAGTGTTAAGAATTGAATTACACTATGCCAGTACCCCATTACTATTATTTTTTTAAGGTGGGCGTATATGTAAACACATATGCCTAGTAAAGTTTGAAAGGATTTATCTGTGTTAATATTGATCTTCCTTAACTGCTAGGAATCTGAGTGGTCTTTATATACTTTTTAATACAGTTATTGTGAACATAAAATACTTAAACTACTCCTTTTCAAAAATGCCTAACACCAGGATAATTTTACTGGGAAACTCACCTTTTTGAGCTTTAGCTGTTATTTCAAAATATTTGACAGTAAGATCTTGAATGGACAGCACAGCCATGTGAGCTTTCCGCTGCCAATCAGCATCTTCTTTTTGTAGACTTTCGATTCTTCGGGGACCCAGATAATCATTCTCCATGGAAATCTTTAGAGTGACAAAAGAAAAATTAAGTTCATTTGTTTCTTTGATTCATTTCTTAAACATTTACTGAATATATCAGGCATTGTGCTTGGTGCTAAAACAAAGAATAGTTGTTTTTCCCTGCTCTACAGTACAAGCTACTAATTCATAAAATAAGTAAATTAACAACAATGTTGAAGGTATTTGACATAAAAATTTGTTCCCTCTTCATCCTTCCTTCCTCCATATATAAATATAGGACCTAAAGCAAATTGTTAAGGAGTGATTATTTTGGGGTGCTGAGATAATGAGAAATTTCTTCCTCTGTGATAATTATATTTTCAGGTTAAGAATTATTTGTACCAATAAAATATTTATTTAATAACTAACATAAGTAAATAACTGAAAACTCAGATTTTAAAACTGATAATATTTAAAATCAGCCCATTCACCTACCAAAGGACCCAAGATAAAAATATAGCTATATACTATTTACAAGAATCACAACTAAAACTAAAGGACTAAGGAAAGTTGAAAATCAAATGATATATGAAGTGAATGCTAAAATAAAATTCACTGGAGTGATAATATTAATATAAAAGTGTATAAAATCACTAAATGGTATGTTTAGCATGGGAGATAGGTACAATTCAGCAAGAAAGCAATGGACTCTTTGTATACTCAAACCTGCTTTACCACACACTGAAAAATACTTAAAAATTAAATGAGAAGTTAATAATATCATATTAGGATGATTAAAAAAAAAACATATGATACAGAAAAATGTAAACCCACCCTGGAACATTTTTAAAAAGTGAGGTCCTAAGCCACTAAAACTTTGAAATGAGTTTAAAAGTTGAAACCATATAATCCACATTCTCTAAATGATGAAATAAATAGAAATTAAAGTCTAAAACCAAAATAAAATTTTAATCGCCTGTAAATTAAACACCCAGAGGAAGTTAACATTGGGTTTTAGTCTTGAAGCAACAATAAGCAAATGAAGTGTCTTCCAGAGAGGGGGAAATATATATAAAAGCTGCCCAGCATACAGTGAGTAATTTATTAGCAGTGTTAAGGGGGACAATGCCAAGGCAGAGAGAGGGGTCAAGAATAACTTCAAGGTTACTGTTTGAAAAAGTATGTACAAATGTGGAATTGCCATTTCCTCAAAAAGTAAACAATGGAGGAATAGCTGATATCAAAAAGGAAGACGATCAAAGATTTCCTCTTGCATATGTTAAGTATGACTTTGCAAAGGTCATGGCCACAAATATAAATCTGGGTAACCTTGACACACAGAAGACATTTAAAGCCATGAGAGTGAATGAGATCATCCAAGGAAGTCATGGGAAAAAGGCTCATGACTGGGCCCTAAGGAATTCCAGCACTCCGGTTGGGTGAAAAAGAGCCTACAGAAACCAAACCAGAGGTAGCGGGGACACTAGGAAAGTGTGGAATCACATAAGCAGCAAGATTCAAAAGAAGAGAAATCAACCCTGTCAAAAACTATTTAGGGATCAAGAAGGATGACAACTAGTATCCATGGACCTAACAGCATGCAGATCATTCAACTTAGCAATAACAGTCCTGGAGTATAGGCAAACTCCCTCTGCCCATTAACTCCCATCGCATCTTCACATCTCGGCTGAATTACTAGTTCACTTCCATACATGTTTTTAATAAGGAGAGAAATGTAGATACATGTATAAAAAATACTCTTTTGAGAGATATGTTAATGAATTTAGAAAAAAGGATGCAGCTGGAAAAGGAGAAGGCAGGCCTTTTGCTTTTTGTTTTATTTTAATGGCAGATCATGGAACAGGTTGAGTGGTAAGAAATATCCAGCAAAGGGAGAACCTTTAAGGTGCAAGAAACAATGGAGCTAAGTAGAGTAGGAAGGTCCTTGAGAAAAGATGAGAAGGGAAAGGATCCAGAGTACTGGCATAAGGATTTTCTCTTGGTAAATGGAGGAACAATTCCTCCATGGCTCAACGAAAGGGAGGTTTTGGGTTTGATAAAGGAGGATATGGGGAACTCCTGTTTGATGATCTCTGTTTTCCCCAGTGAAGAAAAAGCCCAGATAATAAGAAGTTGGTACAGGAGAGGAGAAAAGAGAAGACATAAAATAGCTGTTTTTAGATGGTAGGGTGACAAACCATTTAGAAAGACGCAGTAAGTAAATATTAAAAATGAGACTAACCACGTTAGTGTGGTAATGGTGGAAAAAGACAAAGACTCATATACTGTTTGTGGAGCTATAAATTGATTAAAACATTTTCTGGAAAGTATTTTATGATACTGCATTTTTAAAAGGTATTTAAGACAGTATCTTCAAAGAATAATAATAACCGAAGATATTCATTGAAATGTTGTATGAAATAAAAGAAAAAAATGGGTTCCAGATATCTAATAAGAAATTTATGTATGATACACACATAAAACACAATTCTATGCAAAAATTAATGTTTATGGAGAGTTTTTAATAACAGATAAGTGATTATTTCATAATATTAAGACAGATCAAAATCATAGATATAATTCCAATTACATAAAAGAATGTCCAGAAAAAAGACAAAATATGTAAAGTGTGTTATTATTGAAGTCATCTTTTGGCAGTAGATTATGGGTGATATTTTTCTTCCTGTTTAAAATTTGCACTTTCCAAATCA